GGTCTTGTGACTCTTTACTCTCACCAGCAGCCTAGAGCAGCTTGTTAAAGTTTGACATCTTCAGCTGTACTCTTGCAACAGCCTATTTCAAAGCACGTGAAAGAGGGAACTCAGATATTTTGGCCAAAAAGGCAATGAACACATGGCAATATATAACTGGCCACAGCACAGTACCTACCCCAAGATGCTGACTGGAGAGCAAGAAACTCTTTCTGGTACAGTTTATTCTTCTGCATGCTAAACATTCCCTCAAGTGGTCTCAGCTCTAGTGTCTGTGAATTCCAGTTATTTACATTTCTCACCTGTCAGAAAATGTCATCTACCCACCTTTTCAAAAAATTAGAATTTCTTAGAGCAGCTCTGTGCTAGAATTCAGAATGCTAGTTGTTGAATATTATCAGTATAAATACCTCTGCATTATGACAATTGATATGGTGATAGTGCATCTCTGACCCTTGGAGACAGCAGAATGAAAGCTATGGAATCTGAGGAAATAACAATTTGCTCTTCCTTAATACACTATTACATACCAAGTGAGAACATTAATCTATGGCAAAACTAAAGGTACACACTTTTATGTTTGTTGTTTAATCCAGATGGTCTTCCTTAAGGAAACAACAGTGGTGGGAGTACAAATAGACATTATTGGAAGCTGCTGAATCACAGAAGAAGCAGGATGTACTAAATTTGTTATTTGCTTATACGTATATTTCCCAAGTATATCTTACCCCCTGAAGTGGTTCTGGTCGTGCTTAAATAATTGCTCAACTTTGCTCACATGCTATTTTGAAAATAGAAGATTAGTGAAAAGAAATACTTCTCTGTGAAAGAACCTGTGGATACCAATTTTTTTTTTTTAAAGTAAGTGACTTTTTAAAAAAGACTTCTTGTGTAAAAAAGCCACAAATTGGCCCCTTTTCTTCCTGATTCTTAAGCTGTTGGCATAATAAGGGTTTTGAGCATAGTGCCTCAAGAAAAATCTGCTTAGATGTGAAAGTCAGAGTTAAAAGAACTGTGTTACAGATTGTTAAATAACTGTTTTTCCATTATCAGGTCCAAATCTTGTCTCATTTGAGGCACCATATGTGCCTGCTACTGTAGGGCACAGCCTGAGTTTATCTTAAAAATCGCACTTAATTTCAAGAGCGAGTGATTTTGCTAGCACTGCAGACTCATGGATTTGGAGCAAATTTGGTATCTTATTCACCCACATCATGGCAGCAAGTGCCCAAGTGGTGCAGACATCATATCCTGAACAGCCTCAGGTTTTGGAGGTGCAGGTGCACACCCACATGGCTCCAGTGAGATGTGTGGCAGCAGAAGGGAGCAAAGACTCTTTGTGTCACAATGTTCAAGTATCAGTCAGGCTTTAAACTCGAACCTTCACTCCCATCTCTTGGTCCTAGAGCTTTTCTATAGAAATGAGAAATATTCCTGCATAAAACTCCTTCTAGGGGTTTCAACAGTCGGCACAAAAGAATGGTCAGAACCTGGTCTGACCCCGTCCAGAACACAGTATCCCAGCAGGACTTTGCCACTGTTATATTCCACAAAGGAAGTTAAGGTCTTGGATGGATCCAGGGATTTGGGGGGTGGTCAAGGCAATGAATGCTGTAGACAGAGCAACAGTGCCTCTGACTCAGGTGGTTGTTGCACTGATGCTTCTTTGCCTAGGTTTCAGACTCTCCCATTCAAGTGCATTTAACACAGTTCTTTTATAAAATGCTTCATGTCATAAAAACATTTTAAAGCCTGATAAAGTAGTTTATTAAAAGGAACAGACACAAGTCTGTTGAGCTGGGCATACATTGTTCTTGATGGTTTCAATAAAAGGCTCTCATTCATGAAAGAAAAGACAGAGTTATGATAGAAAAGGAAGGCAAACAACCCACACTCAGTCATTTGTAGTATGTAACCCTAGTTAGGCTGGCAATGCCACAGAATCTGCAATAACAAATTTGTTTGAAAGCAAACTGCTTGCTGCTACCTGCAAAGTGATCAAAAGGGAAAAAGCAGAAAGGCAGTCATTAAATTTCTATCCAAACCCTGCTCTCAGACTCTCTACCCACCTCAACATGTACAGATGTACACTTTGTAACAGGTAACACTGATGCAAGAGGAACATACTTGCACTTCAATAAATCTTCCCTGGTTTTAGCACTCTCTCTTCTTATCTATAACTGCATTCTGAAGTACCTTTATTCATGTACAAGGAGTCTTTTTTTAAAGAGGCCTTTCTGACATCTGTCCTTTCCAAAATGATTTCCTGGTACTAGAGATGTTAAAAATACAGGCAATGATAAGAATATAGAAAGCATGAGGAAACAGCTGTTATGGTGATTAAAACTATTTCAAATGTCTTTTTTTCCCCTCCTCTTTATTTCCCAATCTGGTTTCTAATAGAACTTAGGTTAAAAGGAAAGACATTCACAGAGGATATTTATGCATACAAACACACTGCTCTTCATTCATTCCGATTTGCATGCTGTTGCTGTTAGAAGGCAAGATTTCTGTTTAATTTCTCTGGGATGGATAATGACATCTGATTACCAGAATTTAGGTTCTGCTTTTCAAGAATGGCACCCTTTCAGGATTACCATGCTTGATGGAATGTAAAATCATTCATGGGATAAACCATATTGAAAGCTATTGCTTGTGGAACTTAGCTTCGCATTTCAAAAGATACCCTGGAAATTAGATGCATCTGCCATTAAAGGACATTGTTTTAATTAAAACGAATTCTTACCAGTACAATAAACTTGTACATATACACCACTGCTTTGGCAGTCTTACTAAAATATTTGTGATGCCCATCCTTTCACATATATCATAGTTCCTAGAGCATGACCCTAAAATGCTGCCGTAGCTTTGAAGTGGTAACTGCTAGAAGAGATATAAAAGGTACAGGTAAAGTTTAAGACACAAAAAGTACAAAGCAGAAATGCTCCAGTACGAGTTAAAGATACATATTCCTATTTCATACATCTGAATTTTCTATCAGTAAACACGGAATAAGCAGTGTGTGAAAGACCTGATTCAAAACCGCCAGACCAGACTGAGGATTTTCCTTGAGGCTGGGTTGGCATCAAAATAAGTTTTCCATTGTTTTGGCTCCTTGGAGCTCCATGTCTCATTACCTGGTGGTCTGCAAGTCTTGTGAATGAGAATCCAAAATATTGTTTACATTATTTCACTAACACTGAGACCCCTGATCTCCAGCCCAGTCTTGCTCTCCTCACTGCTGGTGGCACTTTTGCCGTTGTTTTCTGTGGTGTCGGGAATGACCCTTTAGAAACACAACTGGGACACTTTGGTTCCCAAACCAGTACAAGAAGCTACATTTCTCTGCACAGTTCAAATAGGTGAAACAGCTACAAAACAGGCGATAAAAGACTGATTATTTTAATATTCTCGGGGGAAAGTACAGAGTTTTATAAAAGCAGGATCCACTCTCCCCTCAAACAGATTTTCCCTCAATACCTGTTGAACAACATGGATTTTTGGCACAAGTAAGAGTGGGTGAAATAAACTATGGATGTTGTTTCAGACTTCAATGATAGGCTTGCAGTGGAAAAATTCAGAATAGATATAGTACTAGCAAAATACACAGGCCACATCTCTGAGTCTGCTCCTGCTTCACTGCCAGGATGCTGAATGACCAGTGCCTATAATTAAACATACACCATTCTCAGAAATCAAATACAAAGCAGAAAGGCAGGAATTCACCCAAAGTCACCAAAGCCCTCTACAGAGACAACTGCTTGTTGATAATATCATGTCTAAGGTCCAATTTAAGGAGAAACAAGAATTCTAATATTTAAGTGTTTCTAGGTTATGAAAGTGACTGCATTTTAACGCAACACTAATGCATTTCACAGAAAAAGATCCATGGTGTCCAGTCAATGGAGAGGTGCAGATGACCCTGACTTGATTTCATAAATTTAAGCTGTTTTTCAAACCTAAGACACTAATTTATAACTATTGCTTATGCAATGGTCAAAGGTTACTTCCCAAAAGTTCTCGCCTAATCCCTCAGGGTTGTGGGAGATTAGCTGGTAAGTTTTTTAGAAAATCAGTGAATAGATATCACAGGCCTCACTACCATAACCAGAGGCAACTGTCTCTTGCTTTGCCAAGACTTAGTTAGACATGGAGATCAAGCCATCTTTCCCTTCTAATGCCATGCTGAGGCATTTGGCCTCAGCACTCTTTGCACTGTCGCTGTTAAATCAGTCTCTCCCACATAAAGTATCAGAAGACTTTAGTCTCTCAGGATACAGAAGTTCTGATCTTCCTCACAGACATTAAATTCAGATTAGGAATGGTTTTTTTTTCTGCAAATCAAATGCCAATCTATGCAAATGATGCTCTGTTCACATCTCTTGGTAGCTTGAAGTTGCAGGCAAGGGTGTTTTTCAGAGTGGACTAAAATACCATTGAAATAAAATGAAACATAAAATAGAGAAAAGATAATGCTTTTTCAATCCTACAGAGACATCTGTGATTGCTAGGTAGTTTGCTGAGTGGTGGTACAGGGTAGATCCATCCCCTGCTGATATTCCCCAAGGTGAGAAGACTTATTTTACACCCATGATTAAACCCAGGACTCATCTGCTTGATTACAGACAAGAGAGGCAGATGCTGATACTGGAGGCAAGGCAAAAGGCTGCAGAGCACAAGAGTAACAGAGGTAATTTTTATGCCTACCTGAACCTCCCTGCCATGTATGTTACCTGAGAAACAGTAATTGCTTTTAAAACTGGCAACTTTTTTGTATGCTAATTCCAAATCCATAAATGGAAGAAATTAATGGGCTTGATTTGCTTTGATATCTATGTTCAATGATAATGTTCCTCCAAAACAGGACTTTAGGCTACCATCCTTAAAACCCAAACTACTTGGCCTGACTTTCTGACAAATTGTGCTTATCAATGTCTTGTCTGGTAAGACTCCAATATTTTCTTTCCCCTATATGAATTTTTTTTCCATTTTTAAAGTGTCAATTAGAATAATGAAGGTTGCAACAAAAGAGATAATGAAATAAAAAATGCCAGCACTGCTCAGTGTAGTAGATTGCATGTTTGGGTGAAAAGTAAATCTTTCTTGTGCAGTAAAATGAATTAAATCTGTGCATACTAAACTCAGAAATATTAAAGACAAAGCAAATCTAGGACTGTCAGAAGAATAAATGCTTTTAATGGGAAATTCCTGGTATTGATTCTGTTCTTTCAGCACATGGCAAAGCCCTGCAGTATATTCATTACTTCATTCTGTTCCACTGCAAGACCTGTCCACTAAGGCCTTAAATTCCTATCAATTCAGACCATAGGAGAATCATGCTTCTCTGCAGAGGGCAAGCTAAAGCTTTGTTAAATTATTGCCACAAAAGGATATTAAGTCTTCAGGCTGCCCCTTGGTCTTTCCTTCCAGCTGCCTGCCTGCTGTTCAGGTGACACCTAGGACACTCCTGATTTGAGAGGAAAAATGGGATGCAATGCTGTACTTGGCATTGGCCTTGCTATTTTTAAAAACACCCTAGAAAGACAGTAAAATAGTTGGGGTAAATCTCTGTATTGAAAAGTAACTCCCCCCTGTGTGCTGTGTGTTCCTCACATACTCTGGAGGCAGAGTTTTAAAGCCTCCTTTGCCTCACCTTCCTGACTGTGCAAACACTGCCAGCGGAGGCTTTCCTTGCAAAGGGACTGAAACAAGGGATTTAAGGAATAAATTGCTACTCTCAAGTTGAAAAAAAAAGGGTGTGAAGTCCATGGGTTCAAATGCACTGAGTAAAGCTGTACTAATACTTCTATGACAGCCTATTAATAATAAACAGAAGGAAACAAAGTCTGGCTCTAATTCCCTACTGCAATGTACAGAATATGTCAATATGCCACAGGCAGAGCTGAGTTTAACTTGGCACGTGCCTCAGGTGGTGACCTGGTGCCACAGACAAGGACACAGGAACAGACTAGGTCTACAGACTCACACAGCATCATCCTCCTTCAGAGACCAACAAAATAATACAAAAAACCTTTAAAGCCTCCTGTGCTTTATGATAATCCTCTTTAGTAATAGTAGTCATAATAACAGTATTTTTACATTGCTGATGAGAATTGCACACAATCAGTGAAGTGCCTGGGTCAAGAAGATGGGCCCTGCCAGGGCTGACATGGGCTGATGAGATGTTGAGAAACTGGCGAATAAGATTTGCATTACTCCTCACCCCCTGTCCCACCCCCTGGATCAATGTCACCCAAATAAATGGTGACATGGTCACAAAGGTGTGGGGCTGAGGGCAGGGAAGTGGCCAGCCAGGAGGGAACACAATATCAGGAAGAAAGGGCTGCCACTTGTTCTCAGGACAGAGCAACCCACATTTTAAACAGCTTTTAAAAATATAAAAAACCAGCCCTGTTTCTTGTCACAGGTATCCAGAACATCTCTAAACACACACACAGGTATTACTGAAAATTGTAACCAGTGCTGAAGCTGCAAAACTGCTCTTTGTTGTAGTTGTTGGGATACAGAAGGGGCAATTTGCTGTAAATAAATATTAAAAAGTATTTTTTCTTAAATTCTTGAGATATTCTTTTTTTTTTCTCCAGTCTCAGTGGTATTTTCCTGTCACTTGCTCCTCCAGTTGTGCTGATCTTTTTATCCTATGTGTGCTCAAGTGTCCGACACAGAGTGTTCTCTCTCCATTGCAAGAGTCACCCCAGTCCCACCCTGGCCCAGCTCACATCCCACCCCAGGCCCCATCCCCGTGGGCTTAGATCAGCCATTCCTTCTTGCTCTCGTCGATGGTCTCCGTGAAGTTGGGGTCGTTGTTCATGATGGCGGCGTCGGCGCTCTCGGCGGACTCTGCGCCTTTGGCCTCGTTGGTGTGGTAGGTTCCCTTGTGGCGGAACATGTAGCGGATCAGGAACACCAGCGTGCACAGGATGGTGAAGATCACCACCGCGATGACGCCTGCGCACAGGAGGGAAGAAAAGACGCCCTCGGTGAGACCAGCTGCGGGCTTTAACACAAAAAACGACCCCAAAACTCCTCTGAGCTGAGCTGAAGCTACTCGGGCACGTGGGCATCACCACTACTCTAATATTTATATATGGTTTCCACTATATACAGAATGCAGCTCCTTGAAGGCTGCTGGTGACTCTCATCCCACAGGTAAAAACTTCAACATTAACACCTTTTTACAGACCTAAGCTTTGCTGACCATGAGGCAGAGGGTGCTGAGCACTCCCAGAACTGTGGGGTGTGTTGGTGATGTGTGGGCAGCTCTTCGAAGGTGGAATCTCTGATGTTCACTTTCCAGTCAATGGCTGCAAAGACCTATCCTAGCTCCTCTGCATGTCCTTGAAAACTGGCTTGGTTCGCTGTTGGCTCACACCACCCACCAAGCACTGGCTCCACATAATTGCAGATTTCCCACTTCATCATCAGTTCTAGCCTTAATTGCTCTCCCTGCAATGGTCTATTTTGGGTTCAACCCTGTTATAGAGGAGTCTCATGAGTGTTATTCCCTTAGGCACAGGCATCTATGTGATAAAACAACACTGTTCCCGTTTGAGTCCTTCTCTACAGGCAAAGGAATCTTCCAGGATGAAGGTGTTATAAAATTTTCAGAAAAAAATACTGTTACCAGCCAGAGTTTTGTTACGCCACTTTACATTAACTGATGCATTGGGCAGGTGAACTGAGGCTATTCAAATGTGGCCTGAATTTTTCTGAGGAATTCAATGCTTTCCTTCCAGTATAGTAAAGTTTCAAAGTATTAGGAAAAGTTATAAGTAGTAATAAAAATATAAATTAGAAAGGAAAGATTACACAGCAAATCAAGACTAAAGCAACATACCTAAACCTGGATATGGAAATATGCAGCCTTATTACCAACTGCAATTCAGCCATCAGAGATATGTACTGCAAAGTGCCTTGGAAAAGTAGACAGTTTTCTTACCTCCAATAATAGCTGAGTTTCTGTTAACTCCATCTCCTATAGCTTGACCATTGTACGGAAAATCAGCACTTGCTGTAAACAGAGAATTAAATGTTGTAAATAGCAGTGAAACTTCTGTAAAAGTTCAGAAATACATCCGACATCCTCAGATACAACTTAAAGAGAACTGCGATCACTAGATATTTATCTATAGATGAATAAAACCAAAAAGATCTCTTAATATTGTCTAAATTAAATTAAAATAAAGGAGATAGCCTTGGTGAAGATTGCTGTTGGCACAGGAAGACATTTTGTCCTTTACTAACATAAAGTCAGTAAGTTTGAAGTGGTAAAAAAGCACAAAACGAAACAAACCCCTCTCTTTTAAAAGTGTGTGATCATACTTATAATTACAGAGATTTTTGCCTTTGTCACTGCTACCTATTAAAGGCTTCAGAAGCTTCCAGGATTTTGTAACCACCATTGGGTACAAATTCAAGCTCCTTGAAAGATAAAACTTGAATCCTTTTTGCTGCTGCACAGCCCAAGGTAAGAGAGGGGCTGCAGCTTCTGTTGGTCAGAGCCACAGAGCAGCCACCCCACGGAGCACATGCCAGCACTTCTGTCACTGTGGGAGAAAGCCCAGCATGGCAGCTGAGCCACTGCTGGAGCTGCTTTGGAGCTCAGGAGCAAGACTGAGAGCTGGAGGAGCTGAGGCATGGGAGGCTGTGGATGAGGAGAGCCTCCAGCACACGGGTAAGGAGAGGAGGCACAGGCTGATGTGCCAGCATTCATTTGCCAGTGACCTGAAAAGGAGAAACTCCTTGCAGCAGAATTGGATGAAATGGGATGAATTTGGATGGTAGCCTTGGTTTTAACCTCCAGAAAATATCACAGAGGCAATCTCATCAATTAAACTTATGAGCATTTTCTTTATAGTCAGACATAGCAACTGGACACTGCAATGACTAAGCAAGCCTAGGGAGCTGGGTGAGGAGTTGCAATAATTTCCTTCTTTGCCCCTGGACTCAGACATTGATTTTGAAATAGAGAAAATGTTGTTAAAAGTGCATTAACTGGAGAAAGTTAAAATAATCAAGGATATGAACTGCTTCTCAGGGCAACCTTTAAAACCTCACTGTATTTTCTTTGCTTGATGGACTAGGTGATACTGTATGAAAATAATCAGTTGCCTTTACAGACCAGTGATGCATTCAGTATACCAAAAACTGGCTCAGGGAATTCAACTGTCTTTCTGTTACCATGGACTAAAACCCATAATAAAGTTCCTTTTGTATTGTAAAGCAGCTGCACAAAAGAATGAATGGTTTCAGCTTGCCACATGGCCTGAAAAGAGGTTTGGGGCTAGAGTAGCCCTCTGTGTGCCTACTCTGGGAGAGAGTTGAACCAGCTGTGTGTTCAGCAGCTGGATTTTGGCTGGCTGCCTGGGGGACAAACAGGAGTGTGCTTCTCAGAGCTCAGCAGAGGGGCCCTGGCCAGCAGTTTTTGCCAGCAGCACTTGTGCCTTTGACATTTGTTGGTGCTCTGGCTCCTGAAAACCTTCATCTGCACCCCTCTGAAATGAATCAAGCTACAAATTGTAGAAGATAAATAAATACCTGGTTCCATATCAGTGGATTTTGCTTGAAAGAGCTGTGCCAGGACCATTAATGAAGACATTTTGGCACAGGATCTATAAACATACCCTTGCACTGCTGGCAGTGGGAAATCCTACTTTCAAACCTGCCCTCCCTGCATGTCAAGGAAAATCCTAAAGCCAAATAATACTGTAGGGAAAGCATCAGTTTGCCAAATCCCAAGGAATTCCTCTCTGCCATTCCAACCCAAAAGGAGGCCCCTTGTCATCCAGGCAGAACCACAGGCTGTTAACAAGTCCTAGTATTTGCATTAGAGTTGGTCTCCTGTGTCTTCACACAAGAAGTCTGAAAATCTACAATGGTCACAGTTCTTCCTTTCCTTACAATTGAATATTATATTTTATCTTCTTTTCAAAGGTTATTTCAAGGACAATGGCACTAGTGAAGTGTGAAGAAAGAGGAAAGCTGCTGTCCATGGCAGCATGATCCCTCTTGAGCTGCCACATCACCCTGGCTGTGCTACAAGGGACTCCTGGAAGATGGAAGAGCACAGTCTGTGGTCTTCAACAGGCACTGAAGCACACTGCAGGATAAGGAAGGACACGCTGCAGGATGTGGAGCTCCATCCTTGATCTTGTCTGAGAGCTGCTGCTAGGCCTGGACCCAATGCCTCCACGCACAGCTGCTCTCCATGGCACCCAGACATCTTCCACGCTCAGGAGGAGCTGTCCATGGGCTCAACAAGCACGTGAGATTCACTCTGAGGCCCTCACCTCTGACAAGGAGGGAACAAGAACATGTGTCTCAGAGCAGGGGACACTAGTTCAGCAAGAGCTCATCATCAGATTGGCAAAATTGTGCCCTGCTGCAGCTGCTGGAGCACCAGGTGTGCTGCAGGGAAAAAAAAAGGAGCTTAGACTTTCATGAGTCTTTTTTTAAAAGCACTTGCAGTAGTGTTGGCAGATATTAGCATCGTAATTCATTAACTGCTGTTCTGTTATTCTTGTGCCCCCAAGAGAGCTGCTTGTGTATTATGGGGATTTTTTTGACTGGAAAGTATCTAAAATCTCATCAAAATGTGAGATTATAGAATATATTTTGCTGCAAAATTATCCATACATTGTTTTACTTGAAGTACTACTATAGATTGATAACGAAGAAGGAAAACAACTAATTAGTTTTTTTTTTTTAACAGGACATTCCCTTGAAATTCTTCAGTAGCTTCTCAAAAGATCAGAAAGAGCTGTAGGTCAGAGGTCTAAGAATCACAAGGAGAGCTATAGTTCAGAGGTCTAAGAACCACAAAAGGGCAATTCCCGTCAGAGCAGTTAGGCAGAAAAGAACATATGAGGGTCCTTGACCATCCAAAATGAGCTTAACAGAGTATTGTGCCAAACAGGCACCAAGTTCAGGTATTTCAGACAAGAGTTACATCATTCAAACACATGGGGAATCCTCTCTGACCTTACTACAGTCGCATTCCTTGGCAATATTAACCAAAAAAGACAACTAAAACGAGTTTTTCTTCCATTGCTGCTGGAATTCAGGAACTAAAAGAGGAACAAATGCATTAGAGCATGCTGACAAAGGGATAGCAGTAATTCTGATCCTCTGGTAAAAGCACAGAAAACTATATAAAGTGCTGTTCATAGGCTGTAAAGAGTAATTCCTAAAACAAATCTTCCCTAGGTTTCTCCAAGTAGCCATGGTCTCATGTGTGTGATTCAAAACACAAAGAATGGAGCAAAGAGCTTTTTAATCTATCCTGGGAAACAGAAAATCTATCCTGAGAAGCTAAATATTGACCCAAGAAATGTCCTGCCAGCTGCCTGAAATCCTCTGCTCACGCAGCCGTGGCACAGAGCCATCAGTTTGCTGTCACTGCACACCAAAGACCTTTTCCTAAAACCTGCAGCTACTGCAGGGACAGATTGCTCTGTACCAGGAAATGCTCAGCTCCTCTGTGGCTTGGGAACATTACTTTGCCTGCTTCCCTTCCAGGATCCAAGCTGGCAGATGCTGCTCTTTGCATTGCTGTTCTTTGCTGCCTTTCCCCAGCAGGTTTGCTTCAAACAGCACCATCCTGAAGCTAACTTATGTAAAAGGACACAGCACACTTTGCTTTCTCTTTCTTAGATGGGCTGCGTTTACAAGGCCACAGTTTCAACAAGCACAGAGTAAACCTACAGAGTCTGTACTTATGTTCTGCACTTTTCAACTTTCTGTTATTAGGGTAAATGGGGTTGAAGAAAATTTGCAGCATCTAAAAGGGTGATTAAAGACTGACTGCAGGCAAATTCCATATTCTGGCCATCATTTTAATGACATTTGAAGCTTTAGATGACCACAAAAATTCAGTAGGAGACCTAATATCCTCCAGCATGCCCAGTGTGGTCATTGCCACGGTCAGATGCAAAACAGCAGCCCTCAATGAATGGAGAGGGAAGATGGGACTGGATAAACAGAGCACAATTAGGATTAGATGTTAAGGATGACAGATGTGCTTGGTTTAGCTGAGTGAATTAATTCTGCTTCATTATGACAGGCATGATTTTGCATCTGCCATTTTCAGAGGGAAAATGGTTTACAATGGATTCCACATAAAAGCCTTTAGCAAATTCACAAAATTGAGATAAAAAAATGACCTTGGTAAAGTTGCCCAGAAGGTGAGTGTGGGCTGAGAAATGAGCAAAAGGCTGTTCAGTAAAGGCAAGGGGAAACCCAAAATCAAAGTGAGGTGGGCATTTCAGGTGAAGAGTAGTATCAAGAAGTACACACTAAAAAGGCAAATTTTGTTTTGAGATACATTAATAGGACTAGTTATACATAAGTCATTGAAAGCAATTTTTTTAACTGAACTTTTTTTCTGAGTGGGCAAGTCTTGGGTAAAGTATACTGCACTACAAAGGAAGATAGAGTTTAGATTTGCTCCACAAAAGGAAGTGTGAGAGTTATTACAGTTTCATTCAGTTTCACAGAATGAAATGTGAAATGCTGGAAAATGAGCTTGTTCAGACTAGATTTTATGTGCTGCAAGACTTCTTTGACATTTCATCTTTGTAGATGTACGCAATCTTGAGAGGTGTTTGTCCATTACTAAAACCAGTTGGGTTTTCACATAAATATGAACTGGAGAAGCAACCAGTACCACCAGATCTAATGATCACAAGGTATATAAAACCCACATCAATCAAGGCATTGATTAGAAGCAGGACAGTAAGATAAAATAAAAGATGTGAACTATAACTCCATCTTCCTAATTCTATTCTGCAGCCAAGCATCCAAGAATTGACTTTGCAATGACAGCAAACAGTTACACGTTAGGATTTTGAGAAAGTGTTGGACACTAGATCCATTCACTAATCTGGTTCTCTATAGGACCACAGCACAGAGAAAAATAAAAGCAAGCTCTCTGGTGCCATTCTGTAAATTATGTCAACTCTGCTGGTCAGGTGAGACTGTACTGTACTGTGGCTGGAAATTACAGAGCTCTCC